CATCCCATAATCCGTCTGCCATGCAGAGCAGCACAAGCGAGCAGCAAGGGAGAGCCGGGGGCTGTTGCAGGAGCTTGAAGAGGAACGGGCTCGCTACCAGAGCCTAGTGAAGGAGTATGCCCGCCTGGAGCAGGGCTATGAGAACCTGCGGGACGAGATGGCCTTCCACAAGGTGATGTGCTGGTGTGGACACAGAGGGGCTTGGGGTGGAGGAGTACTGTAGCTGAGCATGATGAATACAGCAGTCCTTGAATACTTGCTTTGCTAGGAAACAGGCTGGGCCAGCTTGGAGCAATGCCTCCCTCAGTGCCTTTGCAGGGCAGCAGGCACCAGGGCTCTGCTGTGCAGTAGACTAGTCCAGGGCAACCTCTGGGCTTGTGGGAAACAAGAATTGGGAGCCAAGCTCCATGTGTTGGAATCCCCAACCTGAGACAACCTGGAGTTTTCCAAAAATCTTCACTTCAGCTATTGCTCCTTCATGGTGCTCCTGCTCTCAGGAGAAGCTGCCTCACTTGGTGTTGAGCAAGGGTATTGGGGGATGAGGTGGAACAGTCTTGTGCTTCTCTCCATATGCAGCAAAGCACCTTCAGACGGTCCCCTTCGTCAGAGAGCTTCCTGGGCTCTGAGAGCAGCTACCTGTCCTCCATGTCCACAGTCCCCTCACGGGACGGCTCTGACTTCCAGGCTGAGGCAAGTTGTGACACTAGTGACCCAAGAGTGCCTGGTGGGGATGGGAAAGGAGAGTGGCCTGTCCCTTCTCTTGTCTGTCCCATCAGGGAGGGATGTCCCTTGATGCACCAGTGCATAGTGTGGGCTGCTGGGCCAAACTCAGTATCCTTCTCTGCGTCCAGGGGCTGGAGGAGCGCTGGCAGCTGGTGCCAGAAGGCCAGCAGCCCCATCCCAGCAGCGAGGCGATGCTGAATGGCAGCATGGGCCAGGACCCCTTTGAGAAGGCGTATCTCCTTCTCCTGGGGCAGCTCAATGCTGTCAATGAGGAGCTGGCCCGGACTCGGGAAGAGCTGCGGAGGGCCAGGGCTCCTGTGGAGCCCGAGGAGAAGAGACCCCTGGATTTCCTCAAACGCAGGGTGAGCACCCTTCTGTGCTGTGAGTGGGGCTGGTGCCAGGCTTACAGCAGCTCATCTCACCTTGACCTCATCTCCCAGCAGAATATAGCTGAGATGCTGGGGCTGGCCAGGAGCCCAGAGAAGACAGCTGTAGATGATGACTTGAAACATGCATACGATGCTGTACAGGTTGCCAATAGGTGAGTGCTGGTGATGCACCCCCAAGGAGGTGGTGTCTAGCTGAGGCCAGTCTCTACCTGGCATTCATGACATAAGCACAGTCCTTTGGTTGGTGTGGGTGGGATGTCAACTGAACATAGATGGGGTTGCTGGGATGAGCTAGGGACTGCATGTTTCCAATTTGAGTGCTGTGAGTAGTCCGCCCAGAGTGTGGGGACAGCTGGACTTCCTCTTTACCTGCTTTTAGAAGAGGCTAGATGAAGTAGTGTTCCCATGGCTGCCCCTGCTGGTCCCAAGCTGCTGGTTCTCCCACCTGCCCCAGGTCTGCAGTCCCCTCCCTAGCCAGAGGGTGGGGATGCTCTGATCCTGGCCCTGAAGACAGGAGCATGCCACCCTATAACAGGCTGCTGAGCCTGAATGTCTCAGGCTGCAGCTCCCAGGGAGGGGAGTCCTGCCCTGTCTGGAGGAGCCTGCTGTTAGCACACTGCAGCTGCCTGGCCCATGCTGTGATGCTGGAAAGACATGTTCCAGCCTGATGACCCTGTTCAAAGCAGCCACATTGCCATGTGAGGTCAGTGTCTGCAGCCTCAGCTTCATAACAAGCTGCTGGGCTGGGAGCAAGGGGCAGTGTGACACCCTGCACTGCATGGCTGCAGGCACAGGGCAGCCCTGGCTCCCACTTCCTCCAATGCACTCAGCTGCTTTTTTTCCCCAGGGAGCTGGAGTATTCCACTATGCTACCAAGTATAGGTGACTTAGGCACATCTATTTCCCAAGCTCTCTGGGTGCCCCAGGCTCAACAAGAGCCTGCTGAGGTAGCAGAGGGTTTGGTTGGAAGCAGGCTGTTATTGAGCTGATACAAAATATCCGCATAAATTCTATTTGCGCAAAGCTTGATGCAGGAAAACATGAGATGGGAGATGCTTTCCTGGGAGCCCAGTTGGGTCTGTGTTCCCCCCCCCCCCCCCCCCAGGGTGCATGGGCAGGGGAAAACTCAAGCTCTGAGGCTTTGATGGACAAATGCCTCAAGCCTCAGCCTGGCTGTACTAGCTCCCAAAAAGCATCTTCAAGGGATAGGGTGTTGCTACCTGAGGAGTTTAGGATGCCTAGATGTGACTTTAAATGATGGCTCAGTCTCGTGCCTCAGTTTCCCCCTGCCTAGCCCATGCATGCCCTGCAGGCTGCTGGCAAACCAGCTACAGGAGGAGAAGCAGCAGCATGAGGAGGAGGTGGAAGGGCTGCACCTGGACATCCGCTCCCTCAAGCAACTGAGCCAGCAGCAAGCAGCCCTGATTCAGGACCTGCAGCGGCACCAAGGGCAGGAGGGGCTGCAGCACCATGTTGTGCGGCTGAAGGAGGAGAATTGGGTAAGGGGGGCAAACTTGGGCCCCGGGAAAAGGCTCAGGACTGGCTACCCCCTCCAGTTCTCATGTGAGCTGCAGGTAGCCCCTTGAGGAATAATGTAGGGGACCCTGCTATGTCCTGCTAGCTCTGCCCCATAGGAGGGTCCCTAGTTGGGGTATCTGGGCTGAGAAGAGGCTGGCTGAGCCTCACCAGGCATGTCCCTGCACAGGAGCTGGCCCAGAAGCTGGAGAAGCAGGAGAGAACCACACTGAAGCTCCAAAAGCAGCTGAGAGCCTATGCGAAGCAGATACAGGACCTCACAGGCAAGTGAGGTATCCTTTCCCTCTTGACCTACCCCCCCCGCAGCTGCAGTTGCAGTGCAGAAGCACTTTGGAGTATGTCCCTAACCACACTGAAGTCCCTGGGATGGGATGGCTGGGGATGATGGCCTCTGACATCTCCTGGCTTCCCTCCCTGGGACAGAACCTGCTCCTGGTACCATGGCAGGACCTGACCTGTGCTCCTCTTTCCCAGTGAGGAGAGAGGCCATCTGGCCAGGACAGGAGCCATCGGGACCCTCAAACATCTCATCCTCAGCTGGGCTGTCTCCAGCTATGCTGGCATGGAAGATGGAAGATGAAGGGCGCATTATCAAGACCATCATTACAGGTAGGGTTTGGAGGGAGAGGGGTTCCTTGTACCACACTTCAGCTTGGTCTCTGCAAGTTCCTGGTAGGGCTTCTTGCCTGATGACTATGGACTCTCTCTTTCCATGTTGCTGGGGCAGGATCCTGCCCAGCTCAGGACCAACTTCCCCTAGCTGCTTGGATGCCAACAGTGTTTTCCCTTCCTCTCCAGACTACAGACCACAGAGCAGTCCAGCAGTGCTTCCAGACCTGCCAGCCTATGTTCTTTTCATGTGTTTCCGGCATGCAGACCACTGCTGTGACACGCCCCGGGCCCACTCACTCATGGATGCTGCCATCAATGCTATCAAGAGAGTCATGAAGGTGCTGGGTCTCACTGGGCAGAGTGAGGTGGACTTGTTCCCTAGGCCCAGCGTCTGCCAGGCTGTTTCCAGCCTGAGCATCTCCCAGGGTGGGAGGGCACCCTTGGGTGCTGCAGAGTTCCTACTAGAGGGTCTGATGACTCTGCACATTGGTGTTGGCCCCCACACCAGAGCACCTCAGGTTGGGGCAGGGAGGCTGTGGCCCACTGGATTTAGGGGACTGGTACAACCCCTCATCAGGCTGTGGTTAGCCTGACTGTGCAGATCATGGATGTGGGGCATAGGGACTTGCTGCTGTCACTGCCAGACTCCCACTGACCACCTACTGGGGCTGGGACCCTGCCCTGGCCCTTGCTGTCTCCTCCCACAGAAGCACAGTGATGACTTCAATGTGGTGACTCTGTGGCTTGCCAATGTCTGCCGGCTCCTGAACTGCCTGCGTCAGTATGGCAGGGACGAGGTAGGGCTGAGCCTTGTGGGGACCTCGCTGCCTCCCTGGGGAAGATCGGAAGCTGAGTGGGGATAGGGTGGCTATTCCACCCTGCTTGGCTGGCCTCAACCCTGCCTCATGCTCTTGCCCCACATCTCCTGGAGGGCTGGGGTGGGCACCCAGCAGCATCCTCCAGGGCTGTGGCCCTCCTGACCCAGCCTATGCCCCACAGAGCTACTGGAAGGTGAACACAGTGAGGCAGAATGAGCATCGGCTGCACAATGTGGACCCGCAGGGTGCCTGCCAGAGCCTGGGCACCCTGGCCATCCAGCTCTACCAGCAGCTCATCCGCACTGCTGAGAAAGGCCTGAAACCCATGATTGGTATGGCCAGGCCCTGGTGGGGGTGGGTGTGAGGCACTGCATGGCCTACCAATGTGGGGTGGGAGCTGGCTCAGCACAGCTGCACAAATGGCCCATTCCCATAGCCAAGAGTAGCCCTCCTGAGAGGGGCAGGGAGAGCTCTGGTCTGAACTGAGGAAGGTGCCCTACATTGAGGCTGTCCTTCCACAGTAAACACCTAAGCCTCCTTGGGAAGGGCTTGGAGGAAGTGCTTGGAGAACTAAGGGGAGGGAGTCCCCCAAGGTCCCTATGTGCTCAGTTTCCCCTATGCCCAGCTCCACCCCATCCCAGTGTGGGGGCCACTTGTGGGGAGAGGTTCCCCAAGGGCTGGGACAATTCTACCTCCACTGCATTTGCTATTAGCCCTCCAGTTCACGTGCAGGACTGAAGCACCACCTGTTTGAGGTGTAATGCAGCATTTCTTCCCTGCTGTGGTTGGGCCAGCCAGGGCTCCAGCACAGCCAGGCTCACTGAGCCCTCTCTGCCCTTCAGTTGCCGCGATGCTAGAAAGCGAGACCATCCAGGGCTTGTCCTCTGCTCGCCCCCGCCGGCCCTCAGCAGCCCCTGGTCACATGCTGCCTGACCTGCTGCAGCAGCTGGGCTCCTTCTGTGAAGCACTGAGCTGCCAAGGGCTGCCTGCTGCTGTGGTGCACCAGGCTGTCCGCCAGCTCCTCTTCCTCATCAGTGGCACCACCCTCAACTACCTGTTGCTGAGGAAGGATGCCTGCTCCTGGAGCTGTGGCATCCAGCTCAGGTCAGTTGGGGAGACCAGGTGGGGATATAGCTGGGGTTGTACATGGGGAACCTGGCATGGGACCTGTCTCCCTCTGGTGTGGTCTCCCTTGCAGGTACAATATTAGTCAGCTAGAGCAGTGGCTGCGTGCAAAGGGGCTGTACCAGAGTGGGGTCCGTGAGGTGCTCGAGCCCCTGGTGCAGGCTGCCCAGCTGCTCCAGGTGAAGAAGGCCACAGAGGAGGATGCCAGAGCTATCTGCAGCCTGTGCACAGTGCTGTCAACACAGCAGGTACCATGGCACTTGGGTTGGCCATGCACTCACCTGAGAGGTCTCTATCCTTGGGCCTGCTCAGCCTCCCTGGGTGCACTAAAGTCTGGTGGACCTGGACACAGCACTGGTATTAGTGGGGCAGCTGGTCCCTGCTTGTGTTCCTCTCCATCTCCTGCAGGTTGTGAAGATTCTGCGGGCTTACACCCCAACTGCTGGGCTGGAGGAGCGCGTGAACCCCAGCTTCATCAACAGCATTGAGGTAAGCAGGATACTGGATCTGGTGCTGTGGCAGGCTGCTCCAAAGGGTCACCTCTCCCTCACTGCCACAGCAGTGTGGGATCTTAGAGGACTCTCTCTTTCTCTCTCTTTCTTTCTCTGCAGAAACACCTGCAGGAACAGAACCCAGAAGGCCCCAGCCAGCTCTTGGTGGACACATGTCACCTCTTCCCTGTGCATCTGCCCTTCTCTGCCTCCTCTGTGCATCTGGATGAGCTTTGCATCCCTGACAGCATTGACCTGGCCTTCCTTCTCCGTGTCTGAGCCCATGTTGGGTCCTGCAGCAATGCCAGTACCCAGCTGAGCACTGGGATGAGCCTGAATCCTCTCCAGGACAGGAAGGCCCTGAAAGCACCTTCATGCAGCACTTTCTGTGTCCAGCTCCTTTAGGAAGCTATTTATTTATTGAAACTCTCATGTATGTTGTTTGTGGCACAGCCCAGGCATGTGAAGGTCCTGTGCAACCACTTTTTTTTTAATCCTTTGAAGTTAATAAAAGCCTTTGCAGATAATTTGGAGCCTGGGGCTGTCTTTGGAGGATGCTGTGCTCTTTGGGTGGTGCAAGGGATGGTGTTGCCCTTAGGTCCTGGGGCCAGGAGCTGGGTGCCCTGACTAGGAGGGAGCTGGGCCTCTGTTCCCAGTCATTGCTGCAGATTGGAGGGGTCACAGCTGGGTCTGTGGGCACATGCACACCTGGAGACAGTAGGACATGTTGGTGTGAAACAGGGTGTTAGTGGTAGAGTTAGAGGCTGGTGCACATGGGCTCTGCTGACTTGTGAGCAGCAGGGCAGCTCACCCCTATCCCATTCAACTCATCTGCTGGAGCTCTTGACCTTGCAAGGGCTTGGTGCATTCAAGACCATCTCTTTTCCCTAGAGCTGGTGCTATGGGCAGTTGAGCAGGGGCAGAGCTGCTCCTCTCAGTCCTGCTGCAGAGTTTCTGGGTTGCTCATCCTTGGTGTAACCTCAGCTGTGAGAGCTTTGGCTTTGGAGATCTCTCCTTCAAAACCAAACTTCCCCTGCTTAGCTGGGGGCCAAGTACAGCCAGGGAGCCCCAGGTGCCTTCCCTTGCCCTGCAGCACCCCCAGACACAGAGAAGGGTGTGCTTTTTAATGTCCATTATAATAAAATATTTTTACAGAGCCCAAAAAAGTCAAAATAGTGCAAAACATCTCACTGTCATGCATCCATGGTAATTCCCTACCAGCAGAGCTAGTTGGGTATTTACAGACAAACGGGCATTGTTGACAAATGTGCTACATGAGCAAAGTTGGTCAGTTCAATCACATGCCGAACAGGATGTCTCGGGGAGGGAGGGCCAGTAGCCGCAGAGCCTGCGGCCAGCTTGGTGCATGGCAGGCCGAGGTTGGTGTGTGCGGGGGCTGAGGGCTGAGCCCCAGTCCAGCTGTGCTGGAGCAGCAGTTAGAAAAAGGGGTGTAAACATTGAACAGAAACAAGAGTGAACAGCTAAACCCTTTGGTCCCAGGCAAATCCTATAGAAAATGGAATGGAGGGGATGGGTTGGGATACCCTGTTTTGGTAGGGGGATAGAGAGGTATATTGACTTTTGGGATAAATCAGGCCTCTGCCCTCCCTAGCAGCCCTGCCAGCTGGGGGCTGTTCCCATCACCCACGCTCCCTGGCCAGCCGGGCACTCACACGAGACACACACACCACTGGTCACACAGGAATGACAGCAAACGGGAAATGGGGTGGGAGCCTCCAGGCTGGGGGTGGGGGGGGATCTTGCTTGTGCCAAGGAGATCCCTTGGGTGCTGCTGGGACCTTGCAGAAAGCAGGAACAGCCTGGTGGGTCCTGGCTAGCTAGAGCCAAGGGAGATGGGTACCTCCTGCCAGGGTGTGCCCAGCCCTCGCCCTCCTCCAGCCCTGGCCCCCTGAAGCTGCAATCCCTCATGGGGGGCAGCAACGGGTGCAGCCCTCCACTGCGGGGAGGCAGGGAAGACAGGATGTGGGCCAGGGGCTTCTCCCCGCTACAGGCCGCCAGCCGGGGAGCGGGTGCCCATGGCCCAGCATGCTGGGTGCTGCACCCATGGGCCATGCAGCCCCGATAGCCCTTCCACGCTGTGGCAGCGGGTGCCCTGCTCTGCCCTGGGTATGTACAGCTATTTACATATGTACAGAGCGCTCAGCAGGCAGGAGCCCATCCCCACCCAGGACACCAGTGGGGCCTACCCAACCCGCGTGGTCCTGGGTGACGATCATGGGACACAGCCCTGCTTTGTCCATCAGGGAGACCAGGCAGATGCTGCACGCCTGGCACTTACCAGCACTGTCCTGCATCCCTCACCCCAGCTGGCAGCACCATGGTGCCTGCTTTGCGATACTACATGGGATTTAGGGCTATGTGGGATGGTGCTGGGGATGTGCCATTAGGGTCCCCCTGCCCCAGACATGCAGGGAAGGGGTAGATCAGCCCCATCATGCATGCTGGGGTCCAGCCCTTCCCTGCAGCCCCTTGCTCAGCCCACCCCAGCCCAGCACATTCCTGTCAGGGTGGAGTGGGGGGAAGTGCATGGCTTGGCTGTGCCCTGAGTTGCCAGGCCAAGGATGGGGCTGTGGAGCCATGCATGGCACACGCGTCCCCTCTGTGGCACTGCCTGGGCCGGGTCTTGCCAGGTGCCCTGGCAGTGTCCTGGGGATGGGAAAGAGGGCTCCTCTTGCGGCCGGTCGCTATGGCTTATCCATGGCTGGAGGATGATGTAGAAAAGGGGTCAGGAGATGGGGGCTGGAGTTGGGGCGGTTTAACTGCTGCCCTCCTCGGCCGAGCGCGTGTCTGACTTGAGCTTGACAAACTCCTTGGCCACCTCGTCGTTGTTGCGCTGTGAGAGGATGCGGAGGACGGTGAGGCCGGTGTCATCCATGTGAATGCGGCGGCCCAGGGGCAGCCAGCAGGCACAGCTGGCCCGCTGAAGGATGTCGCGGAGCTGCAGCACAGCGATGCCCACTGTGCGATCCTCCCGGGCGAAGCAGTAGTCCTTGACGCACACCTGCAGCTCGTAGCACTCGGGGCCTGTCTCTGCGC